AGCCGTCGTATTACTGGCACGCCGCGTCTGGGCTAACTCGATGGGAGCCGCCCCGCGCCGCGGCGGCGGCACACGCGACGGCGACAGAGGCGCGAGGTGGCGGCGGCGGCACAGAGGCCGGCGGCAGCACCGACGCGCGCGGCGGGTGGACTCTCGTCGTCGAACCTGGGCAGCACCCGTACTACTGGCACGAGGCGAGCGGCGAGGTCCGCTGGGAGAAGCCGGCCACCGCCGCGGCGCCGGCCCCGGCTGATGGTGGCCCCAGGGCCGCTGTCGGGCAGGGCGGAGGCGCGAGCTTGCCAGACAAGGCGACGCCCCCTCAGCCTTCACAAGAGCCGCTGCCGCCGCCTCAGCAGCTCCTTCCACCGCCACCGCTACGCCCTCCTCAGCAATTTCTTCCACCACCGCCGCTGCGCCCTCCGCACATGTCGATGCGCCCTTCGCTCTTGCCGCTGCACCCTCCGCAAATGCCGCCGCGCCCTCCGATGCGACCCATGCCCGGCCCGCCTTTTCGACCAGTCCCCGCCCCGCCCATGCGACCGATGCCCGGTGGCTTGCCCTTGCGCCCGATGCAGTACTTGCCTCTGCCTCCAGCGCCCAAGCGCCAGCGGCTCCCGCCGCCGCCGCCTCCACCGTTTCGAGCGGGTCCACATCTGCCCTGAAAGGCGGCGGGCTGTCGCCCCGCGCACGGCGGCTCTTTAGACAGCTGACCGGGCCGCCCCGCGTACTGCTGAGCTCTCGCTCTTGATAGCATTGATGAGATTAGACCGCGCGGAGGGCTGTGGAACGACAAAAAGCAAGCGTTTTTAAAAAAGCAAGCGTGTTTTTAGCCCCAACCACTATCTCCACAAACGCCCTCCCTCCCTGGGCGCCGCCACCAGGACTTGAGGACCAGCTTCTTGGGGGTCACGTGCAGGCCGTTGTGAAAGACGAGCATTTCGGCTCCGCACCGGCCGAGTGGCTGCAGGTCCTCGGGGAAGCCGTCGGGCAGCAGCGCCTCGATAAACTCCGTCTCCCCTCCTCGGTTTGTCCACCCCGTCGCATAGCCCGGGCGGTGCGGCCGGCCTCGGTACGGCCAGAGCGGGCCCGCTCGAGCGTGAATCAGCGCCGCGTCGAACGCGAAACCGCCCATGTCGATGCAAAAGTAACGGCCGCCGAGTTGCAGGGCCGTCCAGCTGCTGCCGCACCACGACGCTCGCAGCTCATGGAGGCGGCCGTCCAGGTCGTAGATCGGCCCCTCGAGCACCGCCGGATTGATGCGGCCCTCGGAAATCTGCACGGCGAGGACGCCGACCCGGCCAGCGGAGAGCGAGCGCAGCGCGGGCCATAGCCTCCGGTCGTACTGGTTATCATCGTCCATCTGGTAGACGACCCCGTGCAGCCGCTTCTCGCGGATCAGCTCGAGAGCGGCGGCGCGCTGCAAGTTGCCTCCCGCCCGCGATGGGCCGACGGCGAGGTGGAAGTAGGCTAGGCCGCTCGAGGCGAGGACGGCGGAAGCCGCGGCCGATGCGTTTGCCGCGTCCTCCACGACGATCCAGAGGGCCTCCGCCTCCCCGGCGAGGACGGACGCGCATAGAGACAGCTTGGCGGCCTGCGCCGAGTGCGGGTAGGTAGCAGTCACGACGATGAGCCGCGGCGAGCCGGCGTGCCACCCGCAAGCGGAAGGAGCGGCAAACGGTGGTGCGCCGCCTCTGCGCCAACGCCGACGCCACTCGCACAGCTTGGGTTTGGATGCGCCGCTGCAGTCGATGCCTTTTTGCGGGCTGCGAGAGGGCTCGGGCGGCACGGCCGCCTTCCCGCTGCTGGCGTCGGGCGGCGCGGGTGCAAGCGAACCGCCGGTTGGTAGCGGCGCGCCAAGGACGGCACCGGCTCCGCGATCGAGGGCGTTGGATGCATTGGCACGCTCGCACACTGAGGCGCCGAACCAAAAGCATGAGCTGTGTCCGTCGTTGGCGCTCCCCACGGGCGCGGTGGCACCCCTGCCGTCGGCCCAGACAGCGACGAAGCGACAGTTGGCGCAGCGCAAGCACCGCTCGAGGCAGACCGCGGCGCCGCTGACCGAGGGTCGGCCCGGCCCCCATCGCGCCACGCGGTGCGCCTCTGCCATCGAGAGCTCAAACACGCCCCACGGGTCGAGGTGGCAGTCCCCTCCAGGGCCCGGCCCGGGCAGCCGGCGGTGACCCGCCACCTGCTCGCCGTGCAGCGGCGGCCCCATGCAGCTCCAGCGCGAACTGGCCGAAACGACCCAAGTGCGCACCGTGCGTTCAAAGCCGGCGGTCATGGCGGCCGGCGCACCGATCGGCGTGTCTCGCATCGAATCCCAATCGCCCCGCGCCGCACCAGCATGCGGCGCCGGCCGGCCCAAGCCCGCGGTGCGGTACTCGTCGAACCGCCGGTGGCGGAACCCGTTTCGCGAATTCGCCCCGTCGCCTGCGTCCAGTCGCTCCCGCTGACGGATCGAGCTGAGCATGCGCTACGCGTGCTCGTGTGGCAGCTGGCAGTCTCTCTACAATGTGGCGCTGGCAGCGCATCTACGTGACTCGCGGAGGAGAAAGCGGCGGGAGCGCCCATCGAGTAGGCTTCCGCCGAGGAGCGCGTCTCCGAGGCGCTGGCTCCACACACCACTGGCGTGCGGTGGTCGCGACTCCGACCGCACCACCCGAGGACACGCGGCGTGCCAGAGGCAGACCTCGAGCCCGAGGGATAGTGAGACGTGCTTGCAGCGTTGGCACCTGCACGGTGGGCATTGGGGTCGGGGCACCTCGGAGCCTGGCAGAGTGTATGTCTGTGCGGAGAGTCTGGCGAGTGCTTGCGAACCGTGCGCACGAAGCGAGGCAGAATGCAGCCAGGCGCGCCCAGCTCTGCGTGAAGTGGCGTGACGGGAACCAGGCGCCCTCGGAGCCGTTCACACACGTGTGGCGCTGCTCAGCAGAGAAGAGCGTCGCTGCGGCTGCGATGGGCAGGGGCGACCCACTGCGCCGGTGGCGGTTGCTGCAGCGACCGCGCCGAGCTCCACGGAGCCACGCAGCGAGCGGCCTCTGAGGGTAGACTGGCTCCGTACAGTTGGAGACCGCGGACGCCGTCCCGAGGCATCGCTGGCAGCAGGAGGCTCCGAGGCGCTTGCAGCTCGAGGCGTCGACGGCGGAGCAGTCGCAGGACGTCGGAGCGGGCAGCATAGGCGGAGGGCAAAACCCGAGCCAGCGACCCTTCGCGGCGTACACGCGACGCCGGGATTAGTAGCGGAAGTGTGGGCGGCCGGCGGGCGGTGCCGTTTTTCTTTTCCAAGTAAGTACCTAACCCCTAAGTGCCTCGCCGCCCTCGCGGGAGTCGCTTAGGCGGCTCCCGTGGTGTACCTGAGTTAGTGCCAGTGCGCGCCAGTCCCGTGCGCCCAGTGCGTAAAAGAAAGAAAGAAAGAAAACGGACAACCCAAGGGAGGGATGGGAGGACGGCACGCCGCCACCACACAGTGCGTGTTGTGCGAGGGAGTCCGTCGTAAAATTCTTTTCCGTGTCGTGCGAGCGAGCGAGAGAGTTTTGTCGTAAAATTCTTTTCCACTTCTGCTTGATCCTGGACGTGCCCACGTTTGCGTGACCGCCGGCATTAGTTCGCCCGAGGCATTGGCCTCGGGGGAGGCCTGCGCTCCGTCTTTTTCTTCTTCTGTGCGGCCACGGGATCCGGCGGTGGGCGGGTCGACTGCTGAGGCGATCGCGGAGGCGGCGGTCGAGGCCGTCTACGGGGCACTAGTGCTGGAGGCGCTCGAGGAGTGGGCTGGCGCGAGCGCGGACAACCCGTTGGACGTGTCAAAGGACGCTCGAGGAAGGGGCCTCGAGTGCAAGGACTGCTTTGAGGAGTTTTACCGCGGGTTTGGCGTCGAGCCTTGGCTCTGGCGCCGGGCGATGCGGGAGGGCTGGTCAGAGCTGGGGGACTTCTCGCGAGAGGAGATGGAGGCGGCGGAGGAGGAGATGCGGCGGGGCGATTGTATTGCTGCCTATGGGCTTCAGATCTCTCAGCTAGGCGAGTGGTGCTGCGACGATTGCCTGGAGGGCTATTTGGGGGGGGGCTTTGGCGACTACTCGGAGCTGCGCAGAGGGAGAGCGCCGTATTCGAGTAACCCCTGGATAGGGCGTGCCCGCGACTTGTCGTGGATGCGCCAGGGGCCCATCGCGGTGACGCAGCGGGAGCGGTTGCTGGCGGAAGAGCGCGCGGAGGCGGCGGCAGCGCGGGCGGCGCGGGGGGGTGGGGGGGGTGGCGGCGGGCGGCGGTCCCGCGATGGCCGGCGGCGGGAGGCCCGCAGCGCGGCAAGGTGGGCTCGGGGGGTGGAGTGCGACGAGCGAGCGATTGAGCGCGCTTTCGAGGGGACGGGGGAAGAGCGGCCGGCCAGGTGGGCCGGTCTCTTCGACGGCGCCTAAGGGGTTGCCGTCTGCTGTGCTCCTTTTGGTACCTGTGTCGAACCTGTGTCGGTCAGAGAGAGTTCTTTTTTGTTGAATTCTTTTCCACTTCTCCCCGCCATCATCCTCGATCGCCGTGCAAAGCTCGCTTCCGAGCTCTCACGCCGCGCGTAGGGCCTAGAGAACACACACACCCTCGGTCCCCTTTCTCTGCTGTCGACACTGTGTAGTCTCGGCCCCGTGACGGGACAACTGTGTGAGAGCCCTGTGTGGAGAGCGCGCGCAAGGGGTTGCTTCTTTTCTGTGTGCCTGTGTTAGTACCAGCACGTGCCAGTCCGCACCTGTGTCCAGTGCCTGTCTGCTGTACGTGTGGGAGAGAAGTTTTGTTTGTGAAATCGTTCACTTTTCTGCATTCTGGCCCGCCGGCACGCGACGGACAGGTACACCACCTCTCTCTCAGTTTTTGCCGGGTCCAACCACAAGCGCGTTCTCTGGGAAGGGCTTGCCTTCCGCGAAGCTCAGCACGTTTGCGACCGTGCTGTTGGCAATGTTGGCGAGCGCCTCCCTCGTGAGGAAGGCCGAATGCGGCGTGATTAGCACATTGGGGAAGGACTTCAATAGCTTGAACTCGTCGTCCCACGCCTCCATCCGCTTCGACATGCTCGAGCTACTAAAGTCGTTGAAAAAGATCTTGTCCTCCTTCTCGTACGTGTCGAGCGCCGCACCACCCACCTGCCCCGATTTGAGTCCCTGAAGCAGGGCGGCCGTGTCGATGAGCCCACCCCTCGCCACATTTACGATCAGGCATCCAGGCCGCATCAGTTCGACCGCCCGGCGGTCAATCATGTGCCGGGTCGAATCCATGAGCGGTGCAGCGAGATGACGTCGCTGTTGGCAATCAAGTAGTCGCGCTCAACGTAGTCGGCGCCGAGAGATCGCGCCTCCGGGCTCTCCGCCACGTCGTGCGCCAGCACACGCATCCCCAGTCCGCGAAGGATCCGAATGAGACAGCGTCCAATCTTGCCGGTGCCAACCACCCCGGCCGTCTTCCCATAAAGGTCGACGCCGACGAGTCCAGATAGGGTAAAATTGCCCTCGCGCGTGCGGCTGTGCGCCGCGGGAAGGTGCCGGTTCACCGCCATCAGCAAGGCGAGCGCGTGCTCTGCCACGGCGTGTGGGCTGTATTCAGGGACTCGAGCAACTGTGACTCCGTGCCGGCGGCAGGCGTCCACGTCGACTCGGTCGTAGCCCGCACACCGCATTGCTATCAGCCTGGTGCCGTTCGCGGCGAGGATTTCGACCGTCTCCGCGCTGGCGTCATCGTTCACAAAGAGGCACACGGCATCCATCCCAGATGTCAGCGGCGCGGTGCTTGGTGACAGACGCGCATCGACCATCGAGGTATGAGGGAACGCCTGCTTGAGCGGCCCCTCGAGAAAGTCGTAGACATACCTGGGGTGGCGCGAACCGGATGAATGGCGTGCAGGCAAACAAACACGGGGAACCTCCCTCTCACGCTCCCACTGAGGTCTCCGCTTTTTATTTCGCAGAGGCCCCTTATTGTATAAGGGAGAGCGAGACTCATCATCTAGAGAATGTAATGGCGTGCAGGCTCAATGCCAAACGTAGAGGTGGCGCACGGTGCCGCCGAGAAGCAGCCGACGCGAAGGCTGGAGGCATCGCTCGTGGCGGAGAAGCGTCGGAGGGACCGGCGCTCAACTGAGCGGAAGGAGCGCCGGCCAAGACGAGCGCTGATGGTCAGAGGTAGCATATGTGTGGAGTAGAGTAGCTCGGGGTCTCTCAGTGCCGGGGACGTGCGTCGACGAGGTTCGAAATAAATAAATAAAAGGGGGGCCCTCAGCGGAGCTGGGAATAGGACCGCCGCGAGCGGCGTGGCGTGGAGCGGTTGTGCATCCCTCCGGGGGCCCCTCTGCGCCGGGGAGGCGATGTTGGAGCTAGGACGCAAGCGTCCGTCGCCTTTTTCAAACTCGGGGCCCACTCCGCTACGCTCCGACCCGAATTTGGAGGGCCTAAAAGTTTAAGGTATTGCTGCGCAAAAGGGGAAGACACTCCACGCACAAAGTACATGCATACTTCCTCTTAGGCGGACCCTCCCGATGCCAGGACGCATCTAGTGCTAGTGTCGCTTTAGGAAATGCGGCGGCGAATGGCAAAGCGCATAAAGAAAGTCGGGGTCGCAGAGAGCGTCGCGCAGCAGTTGAGCATGCTCGTGCGTTGTTTAGGACGCCGCGCCAATTATCTGCGCGCCCATCTGTTGCCTGGCATCCCCTGCGAATTCGTCGCTCGTGATCAGCTCCGCTGCCGCTCGTAGCAACCAGTGCCATGTCGAGATGAAGCTCCGCGACGACGCCCGTGGACTGCACGCGCAGGGAGAGGCGCACGAGCTCCCGCACGGCAAGCGACTTCTCGGCATGCGCCGCCTGACGCCTGTCGGCATCCCATTCTTGCAAGCAAGCCACATTTCTACCGACGACCGCGTATTTGGTCGCGGAGAGGACGTTTTGGTACGTTTTGGCACCAGCTGAAGGCTTGCACGGACAAGAGCCCGTTGCCAACCGCACTTTTGCCAGAGCCTCGCGAATCAATTGGCCTCCGCGGGTGTGAACATATTCGCTGCGGTCATAAATAAGAACGGGCAGCCAAACGAGGGGTGGGAGAAGGACAGGGTCCCCACCTGCACGAGCAGGATCTTGTAAGGACGATCAGGGACACAGGGGAACGGACGAGGTTCGAGGCAGCGGGTTATAGGCCCACGAGTTTCTTCACCCCTGGGTATCTTCGGTCCTCGGCATCCTGCTGCTGCTGTGCAGATGTTATTGGTACTTGAATAATGCGTATATGTGCCCAGTGTTGTGCGAAGGAAAAGTTTTTTGTTCTCCGATGTACTTCGCCTAGTAAAAAAGAAAGAAAACACAAAGAAAGAAAGAAAACAGACCACCCAAGGGAGGGATGGGAGGACGGCACGCCGCCACCACACAAGGATTTTAAGGAGAGGAGTGTGGTGCTAGCCGTCGCCCACCCTAACCCTTGGTCGTCTGCCTCTTTCTATCTCCCTTCGCAGTCCCTCGCCGATTCTCGCTGCAATCTTCATGCCACCTCGCGGTCGTCCCACTCTCGTCGTTCTCCCTCCTGTCGCTTCCTCCTCTGTCGCGTCGCTCTCGTCTGCCTCGTCCTGCGACGCCGCCGCCGCCTGCCGATCCCTTGCTCTCGCGGCTTCTCCCAAAGAAAACACACTCTAGAGGGATGGTGGGTGTAAAATTTGAAGAATTGCTTGTCTCACGCTGTTTGGGAATGGAGGCGGCGGCGGAGCCAGCTCGGCCACCTCTGCCGCCGCGACCGCCGCGGCGGCTGCGCGAATTTGATTATTTGGGTCAAGCATGTGCGACCGATTGGCGGTCATGCCAGAAGCTCTGCCAAACGCCTGCCGCACCGAGCAGTATTTGATGCATCTACAGCGCGACCGTCGAAGGCGAACGCCGGGGGATCTTCCACTACGTTCTACGTGCACATGCCGCCCTGGATGCTCGCTTCTCAGCCGCTCTGTCCAAGTGCGGTAGAACTCTGAATGGTTCTCATGCTGACAGCGGAGGTGTCGAGGGCAGTCACCCGGAGCAAGCGCAAAGAATAGATCAAGCCGGCTGCGAAGATGCGGTCGAGCTCTGCCAGGGAATTTAGCGATTGCACCTGCCGTACCACTGGGCTGCCGTATCCTCGGGCATGGCCCACATAACACACACCAGCTCTGCCCAGCGTTCGGTTCATGTCGGCGTTCTCTCGCGTAGAATTCCTGATGCAGGGATCTGAACTGTATCGTCGTCGTCGTCTCTAGCCAGTCACTCAAACTCTCAGCGCTGCTCTCAATCCTAGCCCGGTAGAAAAGAAGGTTGGGGGGAAGTTTCTGCGCACTGGGCGTATTTTCTTCTCATAACAAGGCTGTGGAAACCGAAACTCAAACTTTATGAGTACGTCCGCTTCCTTCTTCGGCCGCCTGTTTTGTGGCGCTTCGCGTCCGATAAGACGAGCACGGCGTGCGCGCATGTCCGCGTTAGCGGGCAGGCAGTCCCTCGGTGCGTCGGACGGGGACAACAAAGATGAAAACAACGAGGAGCTGCTCTATGCGACAACGACTTTGCCGCGGGAGGGCGACGTGAAGTGGCTGGTCGACCGCGGTGCCACGCAAGAGCGAGCAATTGCCTTACTTAGCCAGCACGGCTCACTCCTTGCTGCAATCCAAGCCGTGCTGAATGCTACGCCGAACGAAGCTTCGGACGACTTGGCGCTTGCAGCGGCTGTGGCGGGCAGCTTTCCAACCGATATCAGGAGAATGGTAAGGCAGTTGGGCAGTTCGTTGAAGGGGCAGGCGGAGAAGGCCGCGGTTGGTCTGGCCACGCTCGCGCGCGACAAACCCGGAAGCCGTCGCGCGATTGCGCGAGCCCTCGATGTGCTCGACCCGTGTCGCTCAAACGGCCTGGTTTTGAAGTTGGCTCCGGAGAATACTCCGGTGAGTCGTAGAAACGTCAAGTCGGCAGAGCTGGTAGCCGAGCTTCGGGCGCTCCTTCAGAGCCTCAACGAGGTGCCAGCTGCAGAAGACGAGGAGTTGGTCGTCTACTGCGAGGCCTTTTGTGAAGAGACGAACGCAGCAAACGGCGACGCTTCGCTTTCCGCGAAGATGAAGGGCCCCGGCCTCCTGCGTAGCTGGACTGGCCTGCTTGGATGAGCGCAATCGGCTCCTCGCTCGAGATCTGCATTGACAATGATGGCGGCCACTCTCGATCCATGGATGCGCTGTCCGCAAATATATTAGGGCGGGCGCGTTTGGCTACGTTTTGCGTTATGCGAATTGATTGAAACTAGGTTTAACGCTCTTCCGGTATACCGGAAGAGAGCGAACCCGTCCGGCCGCCAGTGGCCTCCACTTCGCCCCCTGGCCGTGTTCTGAAATGTTTGTCAGCTGATTGTCAGCCGATTGTCAGCCGTTTGTCTGAAAAGCGGCGGTCTAGACCGCCGGCAGCGTCACGCCCGCGGCGGCCGCCGTGCCCACCTCCGCCTCGACCTCCCCGGCGACGGCCCAGAGCGACACGTCCGGCCAGCGCGTCCGCAGTACTGCCAGCACCTTGAGTCGAGGACGCGCGTGATCAGCCCCATGTGCAGAGTGGAGGAGTCCGGAGGGGCGGAGGGGCGGCCGGCACCTTCGGGCCCGCCACCCGGTCCACCCGCCGCGCGACCGGCGCGGGCAGGTCTGCGTATCGCATCCACACCGTCCAGCCGGCCTCCTGCTGCGCCTGCGCGGGGCCGCGTGGAGACCAGCTCAATCGACGGCTCAAGGCCCTGCCCCTTGGTCCGTGGCCTGCTTGGTGGGAAGGCGAGGGCAGACACCGGGCGGGGAGACCGCTCGTCCGCATCTCTACTGTCTCGCGTCTGCTGCCTATGTGTGTATCGGATAGTATATATCGGAGGGGCGAATCCAACACTTCTAGCGGCCGTAGATGAAGATAGGCTGCTGCACCTGGCCGCAGAACTTGCAAGCGGCGGCGGCGGGCGCGGGGTTCTCGCCGAAGCACATCGTCTTGAAGCGCGAGTTGTAGCAGCTCGCACAGCGCCACGCCTAGGGAAGTGTCTAGGAAGTGTCTAGGAAGTGTCTAGGAAGTGTCTAGAGCAGCTCGCACAGCGCCACGCCTCCCCCGCCGCCGGAGGAGTGAGTCGACATCATCCGCCGAGCTACGCCGAGGTTCGACGAGACTCGACGAGAAGGTTCGCCGAGTTCGCCGAGATTCGCCGAGATTCGCCCAGCTCCGCCGAGGTCCGCCGAGAGGCTGCACCTCCCCCGCCGCCGGAGGAGGGCCCTGCGGCAGCAGCGTCGGCGGAGGCGCGTCGGGCGGCCGAGGGGCCGAGGCGACGTCCTCTTCCGCCACCGCCTGGCGGGAGGAGGGGGGCGGGCTGGGGCGGGGAGGGGGTGGGGGGGGGTGGGTGGTGGGGGTGGTGGGTGGTGGGAGGGGAGCTGCAGCCGGGCGAGGGGCCTCGTCTCGTCTCCCCTCCCCTCTAGAGCTGCGCGTCTTCTCTTTTGCCCCCCGCCGCAGGAGGAGGACCCGTCGTCGCGGCGGAGAGCAAGAAATGAGCAGACAGGACTGCAGGCGCGCTCCCGGTACTCATTCTTGGCTCTCATCAGCAGGGAGTACTCATCAGCAGGCAATACTACAGCCATCGCACACCTTCGTCACGAGGGAGAGCTCGTACCGGTGCTCGCGCCACGCCGCCGGCAGGGAGGCCTTGTCCTCCTTGGCTGCCTGCACCGCCGGGGGGAGTGCGGCAGGGTAGCCTCAGCGCTGCCTCCCTCTGCCAGCTGGGCCTCCCTCCTCCTCCAAAGCCGCGCGCATCTCGTGCCACATCTCCGCCCGCATCTCCGCCCGCATCTCGGCTCTACCTCGGCCTGCACGACCGACTCGACCTCCCCCACACTCAGTCGCAAGTGCGATGGCGTGAGCGACGGAGGCGCCGGGGCGGCGGGAGCGAGTCCGTCGCCCACCCCGCGCAGGCGCAACATCCGCAGCCCGCGCGCCGGCGGCAGCCCGTTCCTAGTGAGCAGGCCACAGCCTGGTCGATCCAATCATCCACAGCAGACCCCGCCGCCCGCGGGCAGCGCAATGCCAGAGCGCGAGATCGACCGCCCCTTGCGTGACGGGCGGCGGCGGGGCGGCCTGCAGCTCCGCCGTCGCCGCCTCCACCGCCTCCGCCGCGGCGGAGTTCGCGTCTCCTCCGCTTCCTCCGCCGCGCGCAGACGCGAAGAGCGCCCTGACGCGGGCCTGAGGGGGCGAGCGAGAGGACGGGTACGGCCCCGCCCCACCGAAGTCTGAGGAGCAACTACGGGTGGTTGAAGACCGGCCGAATCAGCACTGCACCGTCTGAGCACTGCACCGCTCCACACTGGCGCGAGGGGCGACGCGCGCCTCGAAGCGCTCTTTGGCCGGCAGCGGGACCCAGGCCACGGTGAAATGGTCCCCGCCGTGCAGCACGTACACGGGCAGCGGAGGAGACTTGAGCGGGTCGGCGAGGGGGACGCCTGAGGGAATGGAGCAAACAGAGGGCTGGGTGTTGTCACGACGTCACGCACGACTCGAGCGGCTCCGCGAGGGCGGCCGCCCGTCTCGAGCTCGTCGCGGGAGAGGAGGCCGAAGGGCGAGGGCTCGCGCCATGTCACCTGCCGGGGACATGTGTCAGGGAGGTGTCAGGGGGGTGTCAGGGGGGTGTCAGGGACGTGTCAGGGAGGTGTCAGGGAGGTGTCAGGGAGGTGTCAGGGAGGTGTCCAGAGGGCCGGCCGGGCGGGGGCGCCAGTCCCGCGTTGCTTCTTCTCGCGTGTGGGCGACCGAGTGTGGCTCGCTATGGGGGAGATATGGGGAGATATGGGGAGATGTGGGCGAACGAGTGTGGCCCTTTGCGCGACCGGCCACGCACCAAGCCACGCAGCAGCAGGGGGAGAGGATCTGGCACGCAGAGCCGCCGCCGCCCACACCGCTACCCGCATCGCCGCTACGACGTCGCTACGCCGTCGCTACGCCGTCGCTATGCCGCCGCTACGCCACCACCGCCACCACCACCACCGCCGCCACCGCGACTGCCACACTGCCACCGCCACTGCTATCGCCACCGCCACCGCCGCCACCGCCACCGCTACCCGCCGCCACCCGCCGCCACCCGCCGCCACCCGCCTGCCGCGTCTGGGGCGGTGTCACCTTGGCGCCGTCCTGGCCGTAGGCGCCGACGTTGCCGCGCGCCCGCCCCGCCATGAGGAGAGTCATCAGCTCGGTGCCTGCAGGGGGAGATTCGGGGAGATATGGGGGAGAGTCATCAGCTCGGTGCCTGCAGGCCGGACATGTCCGAGAAGGCGGGTCCGATACGACAGGTCCGAGAAGGCTCATGAGGCGCGCGCGCTCCTCCGGTCTCGGCCAGAGGCTCGGCTAGGGCCAGTCTCGGCCAGTCTCGGCCAATCTCGGCTCGGCTCGGCCAGGCTCGGCTCGTCTCGGCCATCGCCTCGTCTCGGCTATGAGTGTGCCGCAGAGAGCGTGCGGCCCGGCGATCAGAGGTCCGCTGCCGTTGTCGAGCGCCACATCCGCCCTCACCGCCTCGACGCCTCGCGTCAGCACGCACGCGTAGCAGAGCAGCACGACGCCGCCCTTCTGCCGCAGCGCCGGCATCAGGGGCGCGAGATTGGCGGCGACGGAGGCGGCGCCATCCGCCGCGAACGACTCTGTCACGATCGGGCCGCCGACGGCGCCTTCCCACCGCGCGAGCACCACCTCCTGCGCGACCGACTCCTTTGCACCCGCGGGCGCGTCGGCGGAGGCGCAGCGCCAGAGGATGGCTGCGAGGGCGGCGCGGAGGTCTGCCTCCGTCGCCGCCGCCGAAGGAGGAGGGCACCCCTTCTGCGCGAGGAGCTCGGCGTTGACCGCCGCGAGGACGCCGCACGGACCGTTCTTGCCCTGCAGCAGGCCGCAACGGCTCTCGGGCGCTGCGGAGAACTCGAAGCCCTGCTCGATCCATGGCGGTGGCGCCGCCTCGGAGCCGAAGAGCGCGGCGTGCGCCGGAGTGCCGGCGTGCGCGGTGCCGCCGCCGCCGCCGCCGCCGCCAGCAGCGACGGCTGCCGGCTCGCCTTCGGCCATGCTGAAGAACAACTGCACGGCCATCTCAACGTCACCGCCGGCCATCTCGAGGTAGCTGGCCGCCTGGGCGGGGTCGAGGCCCGTGATGGCGGCCACCGAGTCCGCCATACACACATGTACACATGTATTAGAGCAGCTGAAAAAAGAAAAAAGTTCGCTTTTTTCGCAGCTCTGAACTGTGTGTTAACTCGACTCAAGCACTCTCCAGCCCCTGCGCCCACACCTCAACCTTCTTGGGCAGCAGCTGGTTCGCAGCACAAGTGACTGAGGGCCAGTGAGGGCGAGCCCATCGCTGTCACAGCTGTGGCAGCCGCACAATAGGCTGTGTCAACTGTGCAGAGTGTGTGAGCAGCAGAGGAGCTGCTCTCCAGGCTTCTGTCGCAAAGAGCTGCATGCCACCGAAAGCGCTGTCGAGGTTCGCCGAGCGCGGCGCAGGTTGAGGGACACCGTCACCGACGAGCGCGTTGGACTTTTCACTCCGGACAAAGACGGCGACACGCACACGAGCTGAGGCCGTGTCGCCGTCTTAGCGGCGAGGCGCGGGACCGTCTGTGGCGAAGTGGGTCGCGTCCCTCGATTTCCTCAAATAAATAAATAAATAAAAAGGACACCTCTCTACTGGCCGCGACGCGGACGGAGGTCCCGGAGGTCACAAGGCGACAGGGTTTTCAGGGACACGAGCCGCGGGAGCAAGCTCTCGGCCTCTCGCGTCGGGAAGCACAGGCCAGCACGTGGCAGCTCAGCACTGTGTGCTGATACAGGTGGCTCGGCGCGCGTCACTCGGTGAGGCGAGCGGACGGGTGCAGCTGGGATGACGGCGTTCGCGTTCGCAGCCAGCGGGGTGAGATGAGGTCGGGAACCCACCCCGGTGCCCCCGCGCGCACGATTAAACCTTCTTGGGCAGCAGCTGGTTCGACATGTCCTCGCCGTGGCCTAGGCAGCTGGATTCGCCCTCGCCCCAGGTAAAGACGGCGCTGTCGGCGGTGAGGGCGAGGCTATGGAACCGTCCAGCCGCGACAGCGACAACGCGCCGGCCAGCCAAGGCCTCGACCTTCTTGGGCTGCCGTTGTGCCTGCTCATCTCCGTGGCCCAACTGGCCGTCCCCTCCACCACCCCAGCTCCACACGGCGCCGTCGGCGGTAATGGCGAGATTGTGGCGGGCTCCAGCCGAGACCGCGACGACGCGCTGGGCAGCCAAGGCCTCGACCTTCTTGGGCAGCAGTTGGTCCCGGTAGTCGCCGTGGCCCAACCGGCCCCAGCCTCCATCGCCCCAGCTCCACACGGCGCCGTCAGCGGTGACAGCGAGGCTGTGGTACTGCCCAGCCGACACAGCGACGATGCGTTGGCCAGCCAAGCCCTCGACCTTCTTCGGCAGCAGCTGGGTCTGCTCGTTGCCGTGGCCCAGCCGGCCACAGCCTCCATTGCCCCAGCTCCAGACGGCGCCGTCGGCGGCGATGGCGACGCTGTGGCCGCCTCCACCCGACACAGCGACGACGCGCTGGCCAGCAAAGGCCTCGACCTTCTTCGGCAGCAGCTGCTGGTGCGTGTCGCCGTGGCCAAGCTGGCCAAGGGCTCCATAGCCCCAGCTCCGGACAGCGCCGTCAGCGGTGATGGCGAGGCTGTGAGCGGCCCCAGCCGACACAGCGAGAACGCGCTGCCCAGCAAAGGCCTCGACCTTCTTCGGCAGCGGCTGGGGCTGCGTGTCGCCGTGGCCCAGCTTGCCGGTGCCTCCACTGCCCCAGCTCCAGACATCGCCGTCGGCGGCAAGGGCGAGGCTGTGCCCGTTTGCAGCCGACACGCTCACGGCGCGCTCGCCTCCCAGCGATGTAGAGGGGAGGAGGGTCGGCGTATTGAGCCGCGCCGCGCCCTCGCCGTGGCCAAGGAGGCCTGCGACGTACAACTCCGAGCCGCACGACGAGAGCCGCCCCTCGCCGGCGATGAAGAGGCTGTGCCATCCGCCTGCCGCCGCCCTCGCCGGCGGGTTGGACTCGCACAGCAACGCAGCGAAGCACAGCCACCGCACGGCACAGCCCTCGTCCTCAGGCTGCGCCGGCAGCTCGAAGCCGCGCTCTTGCGCCCACAAGCGGATGGCCTCCGCCGCGAGCGAGGCGTGGAAGAGCAGCGAGACGGCCGCGACGCGAGCGATGTCGATGGGGCTCTCGCTGCGGGAGAGGGCGCGCTCGAGGAGGTCGGTGGGGAGGTCGAGGAGGCGGGTGGGCGGCGGCGTGTCTGGCGAGGGAGCGGCGGTGGCGGCGGTGGCGAGGCGGCGCGAGCGGCGGCGCGGCGGGGTGCACATGGCGAGAAAAAGAATTTTACAATGCAACTCCCTCGCACGACACTGGGCACAGGACTGGGCACGGGACTGGCTCGCACTGGCACTAACACAGGTACACCGAGAAAAAGAAAGGAGATAGTTTTTTCTCAGCGAGAGACGACGCGCACGAGGAGCTCCGTGGGGAGGTCTGAGACATCGTGTCCCATATACTCGTGCAACAACCCGGTCACCTCGGACGGGACGGACTTCGTTTTTCCCGTGCCCTGTGTTCTGTGACAGAATCTGTGTTGTGAGTTTGTTTTGTCTTCTTTGTGTTGTGCGCGGAGGGAGTTTTGTTGTAAAATTCTTTTTTGATGTTAATGTAAAATGAAACCAACGCAGAATTCTTTTAGCTCACACGACACAATGTGAACTTCAATGTGTTGTAGCTAAAGCTACTCTCTTGAAGGCCGAACACCCTAAGCGGTCGAGATACAGAGATTGGTCAGAACTTCAGCGCAGAACCGTCATGTAGCGTTGCGGCTGCAATCGTGCGCACGGCCCGCCACGACGCACTCGCTAAACCCCCACAGCGCCGCCCCAAACGCCTCGTCGGTTGCCATTGGGTGGCGCGGCTCCCACGGCGTCGCGACCGGCACGAAAAGCCGCCCGTTCCCTCCCGGCGAGTCGGCCCGCCCCGCCAGCTCGGGCGCCACCGCCGGGAAGAGGACCGTGAGCGCCGCCTGCTCGGTCGAGTAGGCGAAGAGCCCGTTCCGCGCCTGCGCTAGCTGCCAGGCGATGCCACCTGTGGCGCGAGGCACTCCCGGGGACGGCTCAGACACTCGACTCAGGCACGCGCCCGCCGCCTCTTCGAAGTCGCCAGGCCGGCGGGGAGGCTGTCGAGCCGCGGAGCCATCTCTCGGCCATACCTCGGCCATCTCTCGGCCATCTCTCGGCCATCTCTCGGGCATCTCTCGGGCATCTCTCGGGCATCTCTCGGCCATCTCTCGGCCATCTCTCGGCGGGGAGGCTGCCGAGCCGCCGCCCAAGCATCGCCTCGAAGTTGCCGCGCCGGAGCATGTCGCTTGCCACGACGCCAGGGTGGACCTACATCTCGGGTGCATCTCGGGTGCATCTCGGGTACATCTCGCTCGCCGCGACCGCCCTGGAGTGGACCGCAGACGAGAGCAGCGCCCCGCCCTGCCGCCGCGCCAGCTCGGCCGCGAAGGCCAGGCTCGCGAGCTTGGCCATCCCGTACCTGTGGGGCATGTCAGGGAAGTGTCGTGGACATGTCCAGGACAGGCTCGCGAGCTTGGCCCTCCCCCGTACCGCGCGTAGCCGCCGAGCCGCGCGTCGTTGATCGACGCGAGGGAAAGCGGCACCTGCGCGACAAAGCCCCGGACGTGTCCCGGACGTGTCGCGTGCACGCGTGCCGTGGGGCAGGACTGGTCGCTGAACGAGGCGAGGCGTAGCGCACCCCTTCCGGCGGCGCGCCTCGGTGGGCCCCCGAAGTCAGGTGTACCACCCGCCCGAGGCCTACAGGACGGTTCCAGGAAAGGTCCGAGACGGGTCCTGGAAGAAGGGAGCTGTGCGCCACCCGCGGCCGCCTGACCGCCCGGCCGCCGTCCGCGTCAGCAGCGGCAGCAGGCGGGTGGTGAGTGCGAAGTGCCCGAGATAGTTCGCCTGTCGGCTGCCGTTGGGGATAGGACTAGGGACAGGCGCGGGTGGTTCTGCCTGTCTGTTTCGTTTGCCTGGAAGGTCGCCTCGACGCCGTCCTCTGTGAGGCGGAGCGGGAACTGCGCCGCCACGCCCGCGTTGTTGACGAGCAGGTCTAGCGAGGGAGCTCGAGCCGGCTCGTCCGCCGCGACCCGCCGCTGCAGCTCCGCCTCCAGCGCCGCAGCAAACGCGGCGACGCTCTGCAGGCTCTCGAGGTCGAGGGCGAGAGGGAGGGTGCTTGCCGGCGCGGAAGCGCGCCGCGCAGCCGCCTCGGCGATGAGGGACTGGGCGCGCTCGCACCGCGATAGGTTGCGGCACGCGAGCACGACGGTGGCGTTGGCCAGCGCCAGCTGCTTTGCAACCTCCAGCCCGAGGCCAGAGCTCGCGCCGGTGACGACGGCGGTTCTTCCGCTCAGGTCGGGCATCCGGTCGAGCGAGAAGCCGGCAGGCTGCAGCAGGGTGCCGAGGTTGATGCCGCGAGCTCGGCACCAGAAGAGGTCGCCGCGGTGGCAGAGCCTCGCCACGCCGAGCGAGGAAGCGAGCACGGCTATTAGAAAGGCGCGCCTCGTGCCGCCCGTTCGTGTCTCGTCTCTAGTGGCCAGATCCGGAGGCGGGTGGTTGCCCGACAAGATGGAGGACATGGCTAAGCTTCTGGTTAGTGGGCAACTGGTTGGGTGATGACGAGGTTGCGGCGCAGCACTAAAACGGTGTAAACACAGGGTTCGGACTCCTTGCCGCGTAGGGAGTTGCCCGCTTTACTTAGGTCGGGTAAGTGATCCTATCCTGCGGCACCTCGAACACTCACTTGGAACTCTAGCCCGCCACTAACACGGAGAATTCACAGATACTAACCAACGACCCATTTCGTGTACCAACCAGTCGTGTCGCGTGTGTATCGCCAGCAGAGAGGGGTTCACCATGGCCGCGCATGCTTTGTCGCGTGGCTCGTGGCGCGTGCGCGCTTATCAGAGGTAGATTGTGTCACCGTCCGGTCCCCGCGTGGAGGTCGTCGAGTTGACGGAGGCGCCTGCCGTGCGCGGCGACGAGATGGCCGAGGCGACGGCCGAGACCTTGCGCACGCTCACCCGGCCTCCGTCGCGGGTCGCGCAGCCCGCGAGGATGATCTTTTTGTACTCCTGCGGCGGAGCGCGGCGGAATGGCAAATCTCACGTGCGAGCCTTGGGCAGCGGTGGCGGTCGGACACGCACCTCGAATGTGACAACACCATCGTCCGACATGTCCGCCCAGCCGATCATCTCGTCCACACGGTCGTCGATGTCCGCCTCTATCGTGACCGTCTTGCTCGCGGCGCAGAGGAGCGCCTGCTTCAGCTCCTGCGCATCGAGATGGCCGTTGCCATCTAGGTCGAGCTTTTTGAATGCGTCTTGGAGTGCCGCGTCGCTGCCGAGGGGCCGCTCAGGAACGAGCGAGTGCCACGCCTGTTTATGGGCGCGCATACAGTTCGTCTCGACATCACAGGCGACGAGACAGTGAGCGGCACGCCTCGCTGGCGGTCAGCATGTCCTCGATGCGGTTGTGTCCACGGTACGTGCGCATGCCCAGGAGGGGGTACGTGCGCATGTCCAGGAGGGGGCGGCGCGAGGCCAGCGTCAGAACGAGCGGGCGGCGGAGCACGAGCGGGCGGCGGAGCACGAGCGGGCGGCGGAGCACGAGCGGGCGGCGGAGCATATGAGTCCTGAGTGGATTGCCTCTTACGATGATTGCTTCGTCACGGCCGATTCTCTTTTTCTACTAATCTCTTTCGGAGGAAGAGGCAGTTTCCCCGCTGTCACCGCGCCTGAGGGGTTTCTTTTCCTCGCGATGTCCACCCCGCCGCGCCGCCGCTCGCGCCGCATCGCCTCCTCCTCGACCGCCGCTCCATCGCCGGACGCGCCGCCGCCCGTCCGCCTCCTCGACCTCCCCAGGGAGCTCCTCGAGCGCGTTAGCCATGCCTCTGCAGCAGCCCGCTCTCCTCGCTGAGGTGACCCTCTCCTCTCCGGCCTCCGCACTGCTGCTGCACGGCGACACGGTCGTGATCGGCACCGCGTCTGGCACCGTCTGCACGTTCCGCCTCGTGCCTCGCGCCTCGCGTGGTCCGACGCCGATGGAGCTTGCTCTCATGGCGCCAGCCGCGGCGGCTGCCGCCACAGAGGCCGCCAGCACCGCCGCCGCCGCCGCCGCCGCCAGCTCGGACGCGGCGTCCGCTCTGCCTCCTGCAGACGGCCCGCTCGAATGGCTGGCCGGCCCGACCCTGGTGCTCCGGAGCGGCGTCTCAGTGGACGCGCTCGCGGTGGCGGCGATCCGTGGGCCCGGCGGCGGCGGCGGCGATCCCGCGAGCGACTGGCTCCTTGTCTCGTGCGGCGGCGAGGTCTCTGCGCACCTGCTGCCTCGGCTTGGTGGCGCCTGCCGGCTCGTGGCAGCCTGCACGGGCGCGCTCTGCGTGCACGGCGGGCACTCCTCGCCCTCGCCGCCGCCCGCCGCCATCGCTACGGCGCACTATCGGAGGATCGAGCTCTGGGGACTGCAGCTCGTGCAGCAGCCGTCCCGCGCCGCCTCCGCCGCCGCCGACTCGCGCCCGCCGCCGCCGGCTTGCGCAGCGACGCGGCGGGCGAGCCTCCCGGTGCAGGGCCGCGTGGCGGCGGTTCTTTGGAGCGGGGGGCACGTGTGCGCCACGCTGCTCGCCCAGGCCGAGGGAGCGTGCGGCGGCGGGGGCGAGGCCACTTACGTCGTGCTCGACGCGGCGTCTGCGGCAGAGGTGTGGCGGCTGCAGGCGAGGCTTCCTAGACACTTCCTGGACACTTCCTAGACACTTCACGCAGAGGTGTGGCGGCTGCAGGCGAGGCCGCCTCCGCCTCGCTCCGCCCCAGAGGCGGGAGGCGGGCCGGCGCCGGTCGTCCCTCCGCCCGAGCTCGTCGTCTGGGAGCGGCAGTCTCGCGGCGGCGGCGGCAGCTCGCTCCTCCCGCGAGCCTCGTCGTGGCACCCGCTTGCCCCCTCCGCCTCGTCGCCGGGCGGAGGGCTCGTGTACGCACGCGGGCCGCAGTTCCACTACTCTCCCCTCGGCTCGCTCACGGCGGCGGCCCCGCCGGCGGGGGCGACGTGGGCGGGCGGCTGGCGCGTCGACTTTGAGCGCCCCACGTGCGACGACGGCTG